CTTCAGAAAACTCCTTCGGAGTTCTGTCTGCTGCATGGTGCAGACAAGCTCAGGTTGCAGGCTGATGTAACACCTCGGTGAGTTCTCCCGTCCCCGTACTCACCTCAGGGCTGAGCTCCTAGACCAAGCTGCCAGGTAGGGGTTCGCATGTGCCATACACCCTGAAGGCCATCTGTGCGGAGGACCCTTCACCCCACTCTGTCGGCTGAAATGACAGACCCATGAGTCAAGCAGCCAATCTGCCCTCTTGATTCAGAGCCAAGATTCTGTCATTCAGAGGTGACCGTCATCCTAAGGATGCATCCGTCTCTGGCAGTGAAAATTGTCCTCGACCTCCATCTCCTCCTGTGATCACCTGTAAAGGATCTTCAAGCCCGAACTGGTGTGGCTTGGTGGCTTGGACACTGTCCTACAACCCAAACGGTCTCTGGTTCAATTCCCAATCAGGGCACATGCCTGGATTGTGGACCAGGTCCCCCGCTGGGGGCTTGTGGGAGGCAACTGATTGATGTTTCTCTCGCACATCAATGTTTCCCTCTCTTTCTCCCTCCCTTGCCCTCTCTAAAAATAAATAAAAAAAATATTTTTTAAAAAAGGTCTTCAAAAACATGGTTCTCTTTACTAAAAAATGAAAACTATGAAGCAAATTCTGTAAGTCAGAATTCAATTGGAGAACAAGAACCACTAGAAAAATGTACTTATATGTATATATTATATAATGTAATTTTTAAATGTTTATTATGGGTATTATGCTATTATGTAGTCACATAATATATAGTCATATACAGGGATGGGCAAAAGTAGGCCATCATACTTTTAAATTACCAGCCATCATTACTTAAAAGATAAACCATACATAAGGCTATGAAATAACAACACAAAGACAAATAATACAAATAAACAATACAATAATGGATAAGTAATAATACAAGAATCAACTGTTCCTCTGACTCACAGCTGTGACCCTACTTTGCCTACCCCTGCATGCATCTGTCTGCCTTCCAGGTGTGGGCCTGTGAGGGCCGGCTCCCCAGGCCCGGCCTGGCTGGTCCCCCTGCCAGTGCCAACGCTTTAAGCCAGCAAAGCTGGCGGTCAGCAAGAGACGATGGCTCTAAACGGAGGAGAGCGAGGACAGGCTGGCACCCGTGAGGACAGACTGCAATTCACATCAGTCTCCCGCTGCCCCCAACTGTAATAATGGGCGTCCTCCAAGAAAAGCTGGTGTCCTTTGTCACAGAAGAAAAGGCACACCTGGCACTGGGAGCTGAAGAAGGAGCCCACACCAAGGAGGGGACCCCGAAGGTAAGTGACCACCCACGCTGGCCCCCGGAGAGTAAACACTCCAGCTGCTGCTTCGCCCTCACCCTGCAAATCTCAGGCAACGTGGTCCTCATGGACTACCCTACCTGGTACCTGCAGCCTAAGCTAGTTGACACATTACTAAGCCCCCAGACAGTTCATGCCAAGAGTTTTTCAAGCGAGGGGGTCGGCATGCATGGGTTCATGTTGCTGCGTATTCTCATCTGAATGTTTGGAATACTTTACAGTTTAACCATTATTTAAGGTGTGAATCCATATATTCATCACAGAAGTCCGATGAAAATGGTGTCAAAATCCGCTCCCTGCCCCCGAAAAGTTACTTTTTGAAACCAGTTTCGACATTATGTAAATGAATAGCTTTTGCGGTGAATAAATTAACAGGCCCGGTGGAAACAATCCTGGTGATTCCAATTTCATCTGTCTTCTTGAGTGTTTGCAGGGTAATGCCATCCCTCAACATCGGCAGAGGAGATAGCAGATGGGTTTTTTGCTTGAAACTGGATTCCGCAGCACTCGTTACACAAAATTAGACTGCGGCCGTCACACAGAATTACAAACACACAGAGGGGTGTTTCAGAGAGTGCTGCTCTTTTGCTCTACTCTTCATTCGAGCTGGAAGGAACTGTGAAAGCCCATACATTGAAAAAAAAATCATATAAATGTTTTAAATGGCCTGTGCTGAAGCAAAATACCAAATAATGTTTGAAGTATTTTAATCACTCTTATCAGCCTGAACAATTAAACACCTTCGTGATGCTGGCATTGAGATTGTATTGCATTAAATTGCGAGGTACTCTACCAAAATGGAAGCCACAGTGCTAAGTAGAAATTGTCCACATTAAAGTCACTGTTGCTTCCCTATTTTATAATCAGGAGAAATAACAGATACAAAACGGCTCTGTAACCTAGGATACCATGGAGACCCTCATTTCAAAGCCAGAATCCACCATTTCATTTCTGAGAACAAGCTGCCTTGGGGTCTACCTGTGGTCATCCGCAAATTAGTAAACAGAGAAAACAACGACAAAAATCCAGTTGTTTAGGTGTTTGTCAGTTCATTTTCTGGACTGGTAGAATTTTATCTGGTTTTTTTTCCGGTTTTGATTTGACTCTGGATATATTATATTTAAAACTTCTCCTTGGTGTACAAATTTACAGTTGACGCTAAAAAAATGAGTAGACATTTCAGGATCATGCTGGTATGCAGGGCTGTCATGAATTCGAGTGTGGGTGGAAGTTTTTAAAAATCAGAGTTGAGTGTTACTTTGGCTTCACGGCAATGATCTGGTAAATTCTACATCTTTTTGTTTAATTTTCTGTCATCACCATGCTCGGCTTTTAGAAAGGCCCCATTCTTATCTCATTGTTCTGTAACCCTAGCAGGCAGAGATGATATTGTTAACGTTTTGTTATGTATCCTTTCGCTCTTTTTTTTCTGTGAGGTACATGCTGAATAGGACCCATTTAGAAAGGAATTGCTTTGTATAAAAGTTATATAGTGACGAAAGTCGGGTAGTTTTCGAAAACATTTGTTGGTTTTCAAATCATGCTTCACCAAAGATTTGCAAATGCTAATGTTTCTGCTAGAAAAATAACCAAGAAAACGAACGGTGCTAATTAACAAATGCGATCAACTACCCAGCACTATTGTGACCGGCATTCAGAGGTGGGGTGCCTACCCCCACTCCCCAAAACACCGAAATCCAACCAATGTAGTTAAAGGTCAATACGAGCGAGGGTTGTTCTGTGTAAGCATATACCACCCAACACTGAGTGTTAAATTCAGAGAGCTGTCTTCTTTGCCGCTTCTTGTCTGTTGGCAGAGACTCTAAAATTAATCTCCTAAAACTGGGTTGGAAGAATGAAAAGTTACTATATTTGAAATGGGCCAAAATGATTTGAATCACAAGTCTTGAAACAGTAGAATGAACAAAACTCATGAACAACTGATCATCATTCTATCTATGGAAGATGTGTGCCAGTTCACCGTCCTGCATACACCTGTCCTCCGAGATGGTCAGAACATCAGTGTGACGCAATGACAGGGTGTCCCGTGGTGCCCCACATAACCCCTTCAGCCACTGTTCCTTTGCAGATGCCCTTCTCAGTGACAGAAAGAAATAAGGGAGACCCTTGGCCTTCACCTCGATTGGGGGGCAAGGTGGTCTTTGCTGGTCCAAAGGGCGTTGGGTGGCTTTTAATTGACCAATGAAAAGCTCACAGCCCGTGGGAACAGGGCTCCGGGATCGCAGAGGGCTCCTTGTGCGGAGAGAGGCTGGTGCATTGAATCCGAAGGAAGGGAAAGGGGTGCGTACCCTCCGGCGCGGTGGAGGTGATGGCAGCGTGAGGTCTCTGGTTGGCATCCAGGCTCCTGGGTCTTGCAGCCTCTGTTCCGAGGGACTCACAGATGCATCTGGGAGACACCTCCCCATGCCAGGAGCAGCTGGGGGCTGGAGGGCCAGGCCAGTTCCTGCCAGGGGGGTGGGGCTGGGGCAGGAGAGGCTGAAACTGCCTTTATGATTTTGCCCCAGAATACCGTCTCTACTATTGCTCATTCTTCTTCAAACTGCTCTGCTCTCCAGTGTCTGCTGTTCCCTTTAGCCTCATTCCAGAGGCTACTGCAACTGCACAGCATTCTAACATGCCCTGATGCATGTTAGAATAAACACACCGTTATTAAAATAAAAAGTGCCGGCCCCTGGCCCTCTAAAGTCAGCTCGAGGCCCCCTAGTAGTCCATCACTTTGAAATGCTGCGCCCTCCAAAAAGACAGAGGTTCAAGGTCACTGAGGAACTGAGTGTGGTAGAAGAGCCCAGGGCCTTGTGAGCTCAGGTATGGGGGTAAAAAGTGTGAGTCTTTAAAGGAGCGCCCAGGAAGACGCCTCCGTTCCTCCCCAGAGTCCTCAGCCCCTGGGGTCAGGCAGAGAGGACGGCTTTACGTGCCACCTGGAAATGAGCCTAATGAGAGTTTCCTGGCTCGAGGCCGCCCCACCCGGCCGAAAAGGCTGTAACAGGACCCCCAGGCTCGCCTCAAATGTTTGGCAATTCTCGGTGTCATCGGTTCAGGCGGTGTCAAATACGAGCCAGGAAAATAGTGGCTGAGAAAGAGGAGAGGGAGGTGGCAGGAGGCTGGGTCAGAGCAGGCCCGTCTCCGGTGGCTTGTTTTTCTAAGAAAAAAAAAAGTTTGAAAATGGGTCTGTTCGTGCCCAACCGGCCCAGCAAGCCTCCCTAGCTCTCTCCCCAGCAGGCTAGCCTCTTGCTTCTTGGTCTCCTACTGTTTGCTTCTTACTTTAATCCCTCTCTCGGAAATCCAATGCCCAGCAGCAGAAAACACATAAGCAAGAGTGGTTTTTATGCTGGCTACTGTCCCTTCCTATTAATTTCCGACGCAGATAAACTGCTGAGAAGATCCTAGCTTGACAAGGCCACTTGTTTGTGACTGTTCCCCCCTCTCCCCTTCGCCCACGTGGGACACAAACGTTGTTGGCTCTGGGCATGACGGGCCAGACGTCTTTCTAAAAGTCCCCAAACCGCTTTCTTCCACCTCCCTTCCTGAGAAAAGACCGCACCACACGGAGGCAGCTGATGAGAAACGTGTCTTTATTGGATGATTGTTGAAGGCGTTGTCTGCTGAGGGCCTCACGGTTATCATCAGGGCACGCCCGGCTCCGAAAAGTCAGGGAGGTCGACTGTCTACTCTGTTACCTCGCTAGAACACATGAGCATGTGGGTGGGTGGGGGGAGGGGGGATGACAATAAATAAATTAGAGGGAAGAAGTCGGGTGTCCCATGTTCCTGGGGTTCTGGAGGCCTTCCAGCTGATGGTGTCTATCTCTGTGGTCTGGGGTCTTTAGGAATGTACCATTTCCTGGAATTCTAGGACAAAAGAGGTGAGAACAAGGGTCAGTGGAGATGGCTCAGGACTTTTCCAACCCACTGTGGCCAGTGAGCTTCCTGAAGGGGAAGGGAACGGGCGGAGGGCCAGGTGACGGGCACGGCCCGGCTGCAGGCCCACGTGGTCTCATCCTCCCCCAGGACCTGGCTTCCCAAGCTGCTTTGGTTTTGCAGCGGAGCCCCTCCTACCAGAACTCGTCACCCCCCAGTCCACTGTCTCCGATGAGGAGCGAACTCCGGCCAAGGGCCGATGGAAATCTGTGATCTTTGAACTTTGTGTCTGGTCAGTTTAAGATAGAAAGGGGAGGTTTTTGTTTACTCTGTAGCCATGTTTTGCATTTTTAGGAAACATTTAATAGGGTGGGACTTTAATTTTCTCTTTGAACCCTATAACCATACCCCCCAAAGTTTATATTGCTAAAAGAGAATAATAATAATAATAATAATAATAATAATAATAAGATGATGATGATGATGTGCGGATGCTATAGATAGGAACTGAAAACTGGGCATTTACTTCATATTTATTAGTAAGCTTTGCCCATTTGGAAGTCTTGCATGGTCAGGTTTAGACAAATCAATCTTCCCTGGCCTAAACCAGTTTTTTCTGAGTTATTTTTCGAAGCTGCAATAACTCCCACTGTGTAAGTGATAGTGGCGTCATTCTGAGTAAGTTTTTAAAATAAGAACCCAAAGTAGCAGTTTTTAATTTCAGAGTGATACCACCATAAGGACCACACACGGGCAAGCACAAAGTAGCTGCAGAGCATGCAGGCAGTGGGACAAAATCAGATCAGAACAATTCTATAGCCTTGGGATTATGCTACTGTTTGAATGCTGGGCTCTGCACCTGGAAGACTCCACAAATGCTGTTTGACTTGGTTTATGTTCCCTGACTGATCTCTCCCATTTGGTGGACGAATATCCAATACACATATTTGTTAAAACTCTTGGACACTCAGAGGCCCTCCTGCTCTAGACGACAGATTGCCTCCGGTATGAGACACTCCTGAGAACGTCAGCCCTTCTCTGATTCGGAGGGGCTCACATACCCTGGTGGAAACTCCCGACACCCTTTTCGAGGTACGTCAGGCCGTCTTGCAAATGGTTGGCCAGGCAACCAGCGAGTGTCCTAGTCAGGTGAAGGGCGTTTTCTGGTTCGCAGACAGTGACCAGTGGGCCGGCGTCTACGGTACGCCCCAGGTCCTCTGTCAGGGTCTCTCCCCATATCATCGGCACCCCCACTCTAGTCCCATTTCACAGGTAAGAAGACTGAGGTCCCACAAGGATGAGAAAGGGGGCTTTGAACTCACAGCCGGCTGGTCTCACGGCCCCCGCACGCTCCCTGAGCTAGTCTCTCACGCTCAGTACAGGTGTGAACATACCTTCGGCCCCGATTTTGCCGTCCCCGTCATTGTCCGCGGCCGCCATCAGGGACTTGGTCTCCGACTCAGTCAGCTCTCGAGCACCGCTCTCAAACTTCTGGAGGAAAAACCTGTAGGACAACACAGACCGCGGAGAGGTTTCCGAAGGGCTGCTCATTTCCCCTCTTGCCCTTGCCCTTTCTGTTGAGGCAAACTGAGGGTTTGCCTCAACAGACCAGGGTAGCCAGGCCAAGTCTTATCCAGCACAGGGTTCATTAATTGCAGAGAGTATTGGCGGGCATTTGGTTCCTGAAAGTTTTTTCAGGGTTTTGCTGATAAGTCCATTTACCAAAAAATAAAAAAATAAAAAAAACCCCTAAAACTAGTGAATTTGTGCACCTCGGTATTAGGTGCCTATGTTTAGATGTGTGGCCAACGGACTCAGGTTCTTCCCCTTTTTTTTTTAAAGCTTGCATTAATTTATTTTTAGGGACGGGGGAAGGAGGGACAAAGAGGGGACAATGTCAATGTGAGAAAGAAACATTGATTGATTGCCTCTCGCACGCCACCAACCAGGGACCTGGCCCACAACCCAGGCCTGTGCCCTGACCGGGAACCTTTTGCTTTGCCGGCTGATGCCCAAGCCACTGAGCTACACCAGTCAGGGCTCCTTCCCTCTCTTGGAGCTCTGTTGAATGACCGGCACCAAGGCTGCCCATCGAAGAAGAAATACTGGGCAAACTGGCCTCCCCTGCACCCCAGCCCTGCTACCGATACCGCAGTGCCAGGCAGACTTGGGACAAAGCTTACTTAAGCTCTTCTTCATCCAGGTATCCACTCTGGTCATTGTCTATGAACCGAAAAACATCCTTCACCTGACTGGCCGACATCTTGGAGAGGCCCGACGTCTGGAAGAATTTTTGGGGTTCGAAAGTATCTGGGTCTGAAGAACAGAGAGTGGGTTACTCTGGTGCCCAATGGACCCCATCCTGTGTTTGAGCCAAAGCACTGAGAACCTGGGTCATTAAAAATACTTCTCTCATCACATCATTGAGCTACCGGGATGCTCTGCTCAAAAAGAAAAGGGTTTTTTGCTTGTTGGTTTTTGTTTTCCAAAGACAGAGAGGGCTGTGGCTGGTTGGAGGTTTTTTAAGCAGCCGAGACGGGGCATCATCTCCTGGCTGCCTCAGCTCAGCTTTCCCTCTCCACTCCATCTGTCCCTCTGCCCCCAACCCCGTGTCCCCCCGTCCCACCCATTTTACAGGCTGTGTGTCTAAGACGATAGAACCACTGGTCTAACTGGTGAGGGGACAGCAGCCACAGGTCTGACGGCTCCGTGGCGGCTGCCGGTCCCCTCTTCCGCTGTCAGTGTCTTTAGCCTCACAGAAAGGTCACCAGGCCCTCAGATTTCATATCACCGTAGCCTTAGTTAATCAATAACAGTCTCATCCTCTGATCCCGTGAGTTTTCTGTGGCTTTGCCGGAAGGGCGACCGCGTGAGAGAAACCAGCCGGCACCCGGGCGCGCTTTACCTTGGCACTCCTGCAGGGCCGCTGCGATGTCGTCCGCACTGAGGACGTCCGTGATGCTCATCGTCCACCTGCACACACAGAACGAGCGACAGCTGGTAAGTGGCGAGCAGGAGCATGCACGGCTGGGGCCAGTGACCCCTCTTCGGCCCCCAGAAACTGTCCGTTTGCTGAGGATGTTTTGAATGTGGCAAGCGTGGCGTTAAGTGCTGAGACAGAATATCCAAATGAAAACCAAATACTGAAAAGATCCCAGCCCCCTCTGTCCCAGGGCCCTCTCCTGGGTACGCCCCGAAGATGAAATTAGAAGTGCAACCTACAGACCAACTCGGTTTCCTTTTCTTCTAACAGTTGTATTTACATAACTGATCACTGCATAAGCCCCGGCCCTCCATTCGGAAGTCAGCCATTCTACGATCACAGGGGCAGCTCCCTGCGCCAGCCAGAGGGACACACGCTGCGAAGTCCAGTGAGAAAGGGCAGAGCTCGGGCGGGCCTTCTGCGGCAGGGGTGCCACTTCTCCGGAAGGACGGGCACCGGAGACGTGAAGGGCTGTCCGCTGGACCTCAGAGTCCTCCCAGGTGTCAGCTGCCCGGGGGGAGAGGGATCTGGACGCAGCGGGCACCAGCCCGACAGGAATGCGCGTGGGAAAGCGGAGTCTGGGGTCTGGCAGGACCACCAGCTACTCACCGTTTCAGATTTTGCCCCAAGAAGAATCAGAAGAAAGTTGAAGGAGCAAAAAAAAAAAAAAAAAAAAAAAAAAGACGGATGTGGTTTTGCTGCCTTACTGACCCACCTTTTATAGGATTGAAAAAGTGATAGTAAGAACCTCTTAGATTTCCTCTTCAAGGATCAAGTGGACGTAGCTCGGATGTCTTGCCTTGCAAACTAAACTTCTCTCTCTCTTTTTTTTTTTTTCTATTTATATCTCAAGGGAATGTGGATGGGAACAGCCAATTTTTTTAAAACAAACCTCAACAAGCCTTAACTAAGGTTTCAGTTCTGCAAATGGACCCCTCTGGCAAAGCGTGGAGAAGATTCTAGAGGCCTGGTGAGGAGGAGACAGAGGCTGAAATGGGGCACACAGATGTGGGGGTGCTCCGTCAACTCCAAAGGGCGCCCCAGAGGGTGGTGGCTGCAGCCTGAAGCAGGTCTGTTGTCGACCCCTGAAAAACCGTGGCCATGGGGGGCCAGCCTCAGAGTCGAATGCGAGGTCCGTGTGTCACCGGGACATGCAGGGCTTGTCCTGCAAACAGATGGCCCTGGGTAGGTGACTTCCCAAAAAAGTCTTGACTTGGATATCTCCCAGCTGTATCTGAAATTGCACACCCCAAAAAGGCATTAAGGGGGAACCACCGACCATTCCTAACCCCACAACTAAAATCTGCAGAGAAAAACACAAGCCCCAGACTGGAGGCTGCAAGCTGATTTCTGCTCTCAGGTACAGGCGTTAAATGTATCCACTGTACAGGCAGGGCTGTGTTAGACTGTTTTTTTAAAAATTGTGGTTAAAACACATAACATGCAATTTGTAATCTTAATCATTTTGGGGTGTGCCTACGGTACGGTGGCATTAACTCTGCTCTTGGTTGCACGATGGGTCTCTAGAAAGTTTTCCTCTTTCGAAACCGAACTTTCTCTCAGACTCGCCGAACCAGAGCTCCCCACCCTCCCTACCCCCAGCCCCTGGCAACCACTGTTCTGCTCTCCATCCCTCGGAGTCTGACTGCATTAGTACCTCTTACAAACAGAGTCCTAGTGTGCACGTCTGGTGGCGGCTGGCTTGTCTCACTGAGCATAATAGTCTCAAGGTTCATGTCAGAATTTCCTCCTTTTTGCTGAAGGAGTTTTCTAAAGGTCAAAAACCATTTCCATGTTGTAACCAGAAATATTCGATGGCTTAGAAGCAAACAACCAGGGGTTCTAGACAAAGGACTCAGACACTGTGTGGTCCAGCCCGCACAGTCATCATCAGTGTGCCCCCAATATATCCCTGCGTGGCACTTCAGCTAGCGTCATCAATGAGGAGGTTCTCTCGGAAATACCAACAGCATTGTTTTAAATCGATTTGAGAGAAAGAGGAAGTGGGGGGCGGGTAGAGAGAGAGAAACGTGGACTTCTTGTTTCAGCTATTTATCCATCCTGGCATGTGCCCTGACTGGAGATCGGGCCTGCCATGGCGCGCTGGGGTGACGCACTCACCCCCCGACCGGTCCAGCCAGGGCCCCTGCAGCATTCCCTAGGTGAGCGAGCTTCAGGCCGGCACCGTTCCTGTCCTGCCACATTGTGTGCCCAGTGCCCACCAGCACGGTGCCTGACCTAGTTAGGTGCCCAGTAGTGATTTGATGAGGAGAAATGTACACACAACAAAAAGAACTTGAAAACGGGATTATCAGCTGGCATCCACTGGCCCACTCTTAAAAAACAGTTTCTGAAAATAAATTTCAAGAGTTTTGCCTTAGGCTTCTGACATTAAGTTGCCATGGAAACCATCTGAGTCCTTTCTTTCCATGGAAGAGTGTATGATTGTCCATAGAGATTTTTTTAAAAAATTGAAAAAATCTGCCCGTTTAAATGAAAATAGCATATGGGTTAAGCAAGACACTCCAGATTTTCATGGTGTTTTTCTGGTGGAAAATAAAGATAGCAGAGACCCAGTAAAAATGTCATTTGAATCAACAAGGTAGCCAAGATTATAACTTGAATTCCATTATGTGTAATCTGGGATAAAAGTGTGGATTCACATGAAAGGGCAAATGACGCATGACTCCACCAATACCAGGTGCCCAGAGCAGCCGAGTTCGCAGAGACGGAAAGTAGAAGGGTGGGCGCCAGGCACCAGGGGCCGGGGGGCGAGGCTGGTGAGCACCTGTATGATGGGTGCAGAATATCCCTTTGGGAAGGTGAACAAGTTCTGTGGATGGATGGCGGTGAGGTTTGCAGAACCACGTGAAAAGCCACAGTTTTTACACTTAAAAAATGGCTGAAATGGCAAGCGTTCTGTTATGTGTATTTTACCACAGTAAAAAATGCTGGCTCGGTAGGCTTCATTACGTTGGCCGCCAACTGACCGCCACTCCCGGGAAAGGGCAGGAGGAGGATCTGGGAGTCGATCTCCACTGGAGCCCCGCCCCGCCCTTGACCTGCCGTGGGACTGCGGGCCTCGGTTTGCTCTTGAACATATAGGAGTAATGCACCTGCTCTGTCAACTTCCCAGGGCCCTTCTGAGGACCCATGGACCAGGGGCAGGTCTTCAGACATCGGGTGGGGTCTCCGAGTCCCCTGCTGAATCCCACCCCTGTCCTGGGATTGCAAGAGGATGGCACCAATTCTGCTCGACTGGTAGGGGCTTCTGGAGTGGGAGGCGCGGATGCTGGGATCAGCTAGCCATGTCTGCGGTGGGGAAGACAGGCTGTGTTTGTGGCCTTCCCTGTGGCCCATGGCCCTGGACTCTCAGATCCCTGGACACAATGGCCCTTGTGTCTCAGATATTTGACGCTGTTCCGGCTGACCCCCAGTTCCGGTCCAAATCCCCAGTGTCCCTCTCGATCCCCCTGACACTGATCCCCTGCAGACTGGGCAGCCCTGTGACTACTCTGCCCATGCTGGCCTGACCCATCCTCTCACTCACTGGCCTGTCCTCCATGTCGCTGCTGCCTGTGCCTGCCTTGTTGGTGACAAATCTCTTGAATGTGTCTAAGAACCACTTTTCCATGTGTCTGCCACTTCCTACTCTCTCAGTAGATGGCACCTCCTAAACGTTCCCCAGCTTCATCTTTGTACACCTCACTGTCCCCACCCCAGGGCGAGGAGCCCTCGTCTCTTTCGGGAACAACTGCGGTGCTTCCCTAACTGGCCAGCCCTCATCCACCTGGACCGCCCTCCAGCCTGGCAGGGCGGATCTTTTGGAAGCCCACGTGGGTTAGTGTCCCAGGGCCACCATAGCCACGCGCCACAGAAGAGCGGCTGAGAACGAGAAAGCTGCCGTCTCCAGTTCTGGAGGCCCGGAGTCTGGCGCCAGGTGTTTCAAGTCTCCCTCCGAAGGCTCGACCAGGGGAGGGTCCTTCATGGCCTCTTCCAGCTTCTGGCCCACGGGCTTGCAGTCCTCAGAGTCCCCTGCCTAGTAGGTCGTCACTGCAGTCTCCGCCTCTGTCGTCACACGGCCACCCTCTCGTCTTCTAAAGGGACACTGGCAAATTGGAAGGGGTTCAGGTCCACATCGGGAACCCGAGTCAAAGACCGAGCATTAGAATGAAAGGCCTTCCCAGTGCTTTTACCACTTAGGAAATCACGAGGGTTTTACGAGCTGTGTGCCAGGAACTAGGGACAGAGACCAAGATACATACATTCTGTTTTTGCCTTTTTTTAAAAACTGGAATCTTTTTAAAAGATTTTATGTGTTTATTTTTAGAGAGAAGAGAAGGGAGGGAGAAAGGAAGGTAGAGAAACATTGATGAGCAAGAGAAATATCGGCTGGTTGCCTCTTGCACACCCCCAACCAAGGACCTGGCCCGCAACCCAGGCATATGCCCTGACTGGGAATCGAACTGGCAACCTTTTGGTTCACAGGTCAGCGCTCAACCCACTGAGCCACACCAGCCAGGGCCATATATATGCATTCTGTTATCTCACAATGAGATCCCCAGGGCTGGCTCTATGACGTATACACTCATTTTATATTTATTACTTCCATACCCATAATATTTATTTATAGCTAGTTATTTAAATTAATGTTTATTCCTCATGCCAGGCACATAAGAGGCACTCCATAATAAGTTATTGAGTACACGGATCTGAAACCTGACGTTCTAAGCGCTTGGATAAATTCCCCAGGGTCTGACAGCTGGGAAAGCCAGAGCGAGGCTGGGCTCCCACGTCTCCCGACCATCTATCATTCAAGGCCACGGCTGGATAATGGCGTGAGGCTTTAGAACAACCTCCTAGATTTGGACCTGGCTCTCACACCTGACGTCTCCAGAACTGGGCACAGCACCCCTTCCTGGAAGTTTGTCTTTTTGGATGGCTTTCCCTGGCGTCTGATTCTCGTGGGGATGTCTTCACGAT